AGGCGTTTGGCGGCGGTTACGCTTTTTTGGCTGAGTTGACCATCTATAAGATCTCTATTCTGTCAGATACACACGTAAAAATCTCACAACTTGTCAACAAGATGTGTTCGCAACAGGCTTGTAGCAAGCTTGTCAACAAGTTGTAACAATGCTGTTATTTTATCAAGTTGCTACAAGGTTGTCACTCACAACTTGTTGACAAATTGTTGAATTGCAGGACGATAACAAGTTGTTGGAACAACTTGAAACAAGTTTGTCGAACTCAACAACCTTCTAACAAGTTCTCAACAAGCTGGGAACAAGCAGTGCGAACACATCCTGTAGACAAGTTGTTGGAAAAGCATTGCTACAAGTCTGCTGCATGTTTGTTACAAGGCGTTTTACGTGTGTAGTGGCAACAACCGGCAGGGGGAATAGGTAATTTAACCGTTAATAATGACGTCACCAGTTCTTGCTTGAAACAAAAAGCCAGTCAGTAGGGTATGAACTCTTAAGCACTTACTTCGACAGAAACCACACGTTCTCTTGCAATAATACTGGGCGACATATTGATTACATTGCTTGCGGTACCAATATGAATAACATGTTCCGTAAGAATAATAATCCCTACATGTTGCCCGTTTTTCTGTAAGGGTAGAACAAAGTGAATTAGTATCAGAAACGCATATAACTATACGAAACGGGTAGTTAAAAAGTAGTTAAGAGTTTCATTCAACTGGCCCCTGATCAATATGGAGATACGATATCAAATTGCGGATGTGACGCAATCAGTGCATCAATGACGCAATATCGCACGATGACGTCATGCTATTGATCGCCTTCGACACAAAGCCTTCGACCTTTAGCAAACTTGGAAAGCAAAATATTTAATAATACTATAAAAACGGTAAACTGAAGGGTGACAAAAGGGGATAGAGCACACATTTCATGTAAATAACAGAAGAACTATAGTCATCCTTTTGAAGTATTTAATACATGCAATTTTTGGCAGATACACAAACTTTGGCCTTGATAATTCTTTTTCAGTATCAAACTCAACCTCATTCAATTATTGTAAAATGAATGAATGCATGCAGCGGTTTTCCCGTCTGAAAGTCGCCGAAAACGTACATTGGTTTACTGGCTGAATTAGGGATGAGCCGATAAGGAAAATTGCCGATTACTGAGGCCGATTATTTATAAGCTGATTATTGTAACTAATCGGCCGATTAATCGGTACCCACCGATTATTTTAAAAAGCAAGGGAAAAATCACAAGATGACCAACAATGAAGTTGTAAATGCGGTTTTATTGTTTACAATACGCAAGGGAAAAAGCAAGGGAAAAATCACAAGATGACCAACAATGAAGTTGTAAATGCGGTTTTATTGTTTACAATACGGAGCTTTAGATTTGACTACGAGTACGACTACGAGTACGAGATTTGATCGCGTGCTAGGAAATTACCGTAGTCGTTTTCGTTTTCACTCAAATGTTGTTTTTATAGCAGTAAACCAACAACGAGAGAAAAAGTTTCATAAACTAAATCTCCTGCAGACTAAAATCCCCTACAAAACGTGAAAATAAGTCATAACATTAAAAACAGGCCAGATATTTAGTATTAATATATTATTTGCGCCGGATAAACGCTATATAAATGCTACAAATTATTTTTGGAAAACAAAAACAAGCCAACTTTCTTTGTTTTTTTGAAAAGTCGTAGTGAGGACTACGAGATTTCTCCGCAAGTTCGTTCTCAGATTGGCGACGGCTACGACTTTTTCGCGTCAGTACGAGATGGCGTAAGCATACAGCATGCGTTTAGCTTGACGAATCTCGTACTCGTAGTCACAGAATAGGAAGATTTAGATCGAAGACGCGGACGTCAAAGACGACGTGAAAATGGCGTGTTGTGCCCATGTATGGATATGCCACGCCATTTTGACGCCATTTTCACGTCGTCTTTGACGTCCGCGTCTTCGATCTAAATCTGTCTAATAGGAAGTTATACCAGAAGCGTAACTCGAGCAAATATTTGTCCGCGTTTTTACAAGCGATTCGTCATCAATCACGCCATCCTGGCTAGTACAACC